ACCCAAAACCAAAAACCAAAGAAAAACACACCAAAAAAAACACCAAAAAAAAACCCACCAAAAAAAAGCAAAAAAACCCCAAAAACAAAACCAAAAAAAGTCCACAAAACCAAAACCAAACCCAAACAAATAAATAAACAAAAAACAAAACAAACAAAAAAAATAGGGAAAAGACCACTTTGAAATGTTGTGTTTGAAATTCTGTCCCGTGTTTGCCCCACGGCAACGGGACCTTTGAGCATCGGCTCCGATGAGAAGGGGATTTGGGGTTTTAAAAGGTAGAATTTGGGATATTAAAGCTCTTGTGCCACACACGGGGGGGGGGTTTTACACATTGCAGCAAAGCCCCTTTGCTGCTGAATGAAGTGCAGGAGGATTTATTGAGCCGAGGGCTGGACTGCCTGGATGGCTCCTGGCTGGAGCTCCCAGGGCCAGGATACCTGTCCAGCTGTCAGGAAGGCCCTGGAGGGGCTGGAGCAGGGCCAGAGGAGAGCAACGAGGCTGGGGAAGGGACTGGAGCACAAGTGCTGGGAGGAGAGGCTGAGGGAGCTGGGGGGGCTCAGCCTGGAGAAGAGGAGGCTCAGGGGAGACCTCCTCACTCTCTGCAACTCCCTGCCAGGAGGGGGGAGCCGGGGGGGGTTGGTCTCTTTTCCCAGGCAACTCTCAGCAAGACAAGAGGGCTGGGTCTGCAGCTGTGCCAGGGGAGGGTTAGGTTGGATATTAGGAAGAATTTCTTTCCAGAGAGGGTGCTCAGCCATTGGAATGGGCTGCCCAGGGAAGGGGGGGATTCTCCATCCCTGGAGGTGTTTAAGGACAGACTGGATGTGGCATCAGTGCCATGGGCTGGGAACCACGGCGGGGTTGGATCAAGGGTTGGACTGGATGATCTCGGAGGTCCCTTCCAACCCAGCTGATTCTGGGATTCTATGATTCTATGATTCCATGATTCTATGATTCTATGATTCCATGATTCTATGATTCTATAATTCTATGATTCCATGATTCCATGATTCCATGATTCCATGATTCTATGATTCCATGATTCCATGATTCTATGATTCCATGATTCCATGATTCTGTGATCCCTGACAAGTTGCTGCCAAAGGCCACGAGGTGGGGGATTAACAGGACCACTGGGATTGCACTGACAAGGTTTCTTGGAAAGGAGCAGATGGTTCTCCATGGGATACACCGAGGTGATCTCATAGATTATTGCACAGGTTCTGAGGGCAGGAAGGTCCTACAGCAAGCAGAGTGACACAGAGGAAGGATTTCCTGAGCGGGAGGGATTTCCACCTGTTTTTCAGAAATCTGAACCAGAAAAGATTTCAGTGTTGTAAATTCTGTTCCATCAGCAGCACGTGGGTTTCATCAGGCAGCTTTTAGTGACATTCCTGGGATTGCCAAGGAAGGGGAAGGCTCCTCCTGGTCACCAGTCCCTGTTTGTCCCAGATGCTCAGGAGGGTGAATGGCAGAGCCCAGTGCCCCGCAAAGCCACCACATTAATCATCCCTGAGGAAAAACCACCAAAGATGAAAATCCACCCACCAGCACCCCATGTAGGAATAGAAGGCAAGGTTATTTATAGGGGTTATCCTGACTTTTCCTGTTTTAAGGAGTCAAAGCTGTGGAAGAAGTGCAGTGCAGTGGGATCTGGCACTCACATCCCCATGGAATATGTAATGGGAATTACACAATCTAATGGGGTAAGATATTCAATGTATATTTGTTCGGTGAAACAGCATCAGATAGTAACATTTATAATAAAGAAAATATAATGGCATTACTGATGTAAAAATTGCTTTGTAGTGTACAAACCCCTCCTGTTCTTCCTCTTTGGTTGTGCTCCTTAAAATACCCTGTTTACCTGAACATTCCTGGAAGTGTCCAAGGCCAGGTTGGAGCAACCTGGGCTAGTGGAAGGTGTCCCTGCCCATGGCAGGGGCTGGAATGAGATGGGCTTTAAGGTCTCTTCCAACCCCAAACCGTTCCATGATGACTTCTGGAGTATGAGAACTGCCCAGGAGCACAAAGGGATGGTCCAGCCCCCGTGTGACACTCCCAGCCCATGCCCAGTCCGTGCTGGAATCCCCAGAGAATTATTGCTGTAAAAACTGAGGCTGTTGGGGTGACTGATCAGCCACTTTGAACAGTGGATTCAAACCAGGGAGTAACAACATTGAGGTAAATAATTTATCACCCAAGGATTTTATTAGAGCTATAAAAAAACCCTCTGTTGTGAAGGCTCCAAGTGTGTGGATTTTACAGGGCCATTGAGCAGGAACAAGGCTGGGATCCCACAGACACCTCAGCCCTCGGCAGGGACAGAGCTGGGAGCTGGAGCAGGACCGTGGGGATGAACTGCTGGGCACCAGCAGTGCTGCAGAAACCTCCCTGTCCTCAAATTCCTGCTGCTGACACTGATGGACATGGGAAAATGTGAATGGAAATGGGTGCAGGAGCTCAGGAGGAGCAGAGCGTTGGGATTCCGAACCTTTAAGGTGTTTTAATTTAAAGGCCACATCCCAGTTTTGCTCCACTGCAACTGCAGGGTGGTGTCTGCAGCACGTCACAGAATCCCTGAGGCTGGAAAAGCCCTCCCAGCCCATGGATCCCCCCTGTGCCCGATGCCCACCTTGTCCCCCAGCCCAGAGCACTGAGTGCCACGGCCAGGCCTTCCTGGGACACCTCCAGGGCTGGGCACTCCAAACCTCCCTGGGCAGCCCCTGCCAAGGCCTCACCACCCTTTAATGTCCATGACAGCTCCAGAGACCTTCTCCTTCAGGGAGCTGGGGGGGCTCAGCCTGGAGAAAAGGAGGCTCAGGGGGGACCTTCTGGCTCTGCAACCCCCTGACAGGAGGGGGGAGCCGGGGGGGGTCGGGCTCTGCTCCCAGGGAACAAGGGACAGGAGGAGAGGGAACGGCCTCCAGCTGTGCCAGGGGAGGCTCAGGTGGGACGGGAGGAGGAATTTCCTCCTGGAAGGGGCTGTCCAGCCTTGGCACAGCTGCCCAGGGCAGGGGTGATTCCCATCTCTGGAGGGATTTCCAAGCCCTGTGGATGTGGCACTTGGGGACGTGGGTCAGTGGTGGCCTTGGCAGTGCTGGGGCTGGTTGGACTCCATGGTCTCAGAGGGTTTTTCCCACCTAAACAATGGTGTGACTCCACCTTCTGCCAGAGGAGACCAGCCCTGAGCAGCAAAACCCTTCCCAGGGCCCAAGGATCCCATCCCACAGTCCCACAGACCCTCAGACCCCACAGGTCCATCGGGGCTCAGGGTCAGCTCAGCTCTTCCAACCCAGGGCTCTCCTGGCTCACCCTGAATTCCATGGAAAGACACAAAACTCCTGCTGTGACACAGCTATTCCGGCTGGAGGAGGAACCCAAAGCAGGGGCTGAGAAGATTGTGCTTCCCAACATGGAATTTCTCTTCTCCAATCCCCTCTCCACGCATTTCTCACAACCACAGTAGTGTCACTCCGTAAATTACATAATTTTTCACCCTCCTGGCTCTTGAAATGCCAAAGTTTTGTCTGGAATCCCTTTCTGAGGGGACAGCCCTCCTTCTCCTCGTTATAGAGTGGCTCCCTGGGAAATATTTCTATTTTGACACTTGAGCTCTGATGGCTGAGCCTCAGGGTTCGTTTTTAATTGGTGTAATTTTTTCCATCCTCTAAATCCAGTGCAAAAATCCGTTCATTTGTCAAGGGAAAATAATGCCCTAATACATCTCACTAATTGCCTATCATGTGAGTTCTCTGGTATGGACAAAACTTTACTAGAGAAATTGCATTCAGTACTTTCCTATATTTTGAATTAAAATAAAAACAAGTGTAAAGGAAGTATTTGAATTCCCGCATTGGAATTCTGCATAATTATGTGGGTTTGGCAAGAGATCTTTGGGCAAAGCTTTTAAACACAATCTTACTAAAAATCCACCCATTCAAGCAACTCTAAGTTAAAAACCAGTGTTGTTGAGAAAGAAATTCTTCAGGCGACCTCGGTAAAATAACTTCCCATTCAGGAACAGTTTCCTTCTTATCCCAATATTTAACAACTGTCTTGTTCAACGGGGATAATGAACCTTCAGAAACTGGGTTTAAATATCATCAGTTCTTTTAATCCTGTGAGTTCTTAACCTCCTGCAGCAGCTACTCCTCTAATCAAAGCTGAAGCTCTGCAGGGCTGAGCAAACACCTCCAACTCCTCATTTTTTAACCATTTTTTTTTTCTCTTCCACACAAGGTTTGAGGTTGTGGTTCCAAGATCGCTGGCACTGGATCGCAGAATCATGGAATCATGGAATGGTTTGGGTGGGAAAGGACCTCAAAGCCCATCCAGTGCCACTTGAGGGATCTTTTTTTTTTGCTTCTCACTGTACCAGTTTTAGGACCAATAAAATAACTCTCTTCCCCAGAGAGTTCTTCTTCCCCCGTCCTGCTGCTGAGCTGGACAACAGGTTACCAAGGCACCCCAGTGAGCAGGATTAGGCAGCCTGGATATGGGAATAAGGACATCTTACAGCTCTCCCTGGATTTTATGACCTTCATTAAGCCCAGGGGAGCAGCTGAGCACAGAAGCCATGGGCTCACACCCTGCCCAGGGCATGAACTGCAGAGCAACAGAGCTCCTTCCACGGGGGGCTCGTGGGGAGCACGACAGGCTGGGCAGGGGCTGGGCAGCTCAGGCAGGACTGGGTTTAATAGTCAGGAAGCTCAAATATAACCCCTCCTAAAAAAATTAACACACAAGGAAAGGATGGATTTAGACAAGGGAGGGTTTGTGTGTGTGTAGGAATCCCAGAATCCCAGGATGGTTTGGGTTGGAAGGACCTCAAAGCCCATCCAGTGCCACCCCTGCCATGGGCAGGGACACCTTCCACCAGCCCAGGTTGTTCCAACCTGGCCTTGGACACTTCCAGGGATCCAGGGGATTCCACAACCTCTATTACTGCTACAGATATTAATGTTTTCAACCCTTAAAAAAGAGAAATAAAGACTTACTGCTGTTGGCTGCAGGGGAGCAGCACCCGGACAATGCGGCACGGCCGAGTCCCAGCGGAGGAAAACAGGGAATGTGCCCGGGGGCAGGAATAATCACACTGCCAGCGTTTCATATTCCTCCTGCAGAGAGAGGGGAGAGGTCACTGCGAGCTGAATCCCAGCAGAGGGGAAGGATATTCGTGTTCACACATCACAAAAAGCACATTAAAGCCGTTTACGGTCCCTGCCGGCGCGGGGCCGGGAACGGGACCTGCTGCACTGCTGGATTCTGATGCAGGGGCTGAATCCCTGTCCAAAAATCAGGAGGGGCTCTTTGCCAGCCTGGAGCTGACTGGGCAAGATCCACTTTTTCCTGCAGTGTGGTATTTTTATGGAGCCAGGCTGGGAGAGCTGGGGGGGTTCCCCTGGAGAAGAGAAGGCTCCAGGGAGAGCTGAGAGCCCCTGGCAGGGCCTAAAGGGGCTCCAGGAGAGCTGGAGAGGGACTGGGGACAAGGCCTGGAGGGACAGGACACAGGGAATGGCTTCCCACTGCCAGAGGGCAGGGTTAGGTGGGATATTGGGAAGGAATTAGGCTGGCCCAGGTTGCCCAGAGAAGCTGTGGCTGCCCCTGGATCCCTGGGAGTGTCCAAGGCCAGGTTGGAGCAACCTGGGCCGGTGGAAGGTGTCCCTGCCCGTGGCAGGGGTGGCACTGGATGGGCTTTGAGGTCCTTCCAACCCAAACCAGTCTGGGATTCTGTGAGTTAAAAATGGGAATTAGGGCCTGAGTGACAAACACCAGCCTTGGTCCTCACCAGTCACTGGAAAATACAATCCCTAATTTTTTTTGAAGTATCAGGTAATTCTATAATTACATCACACAGTGCACAAAGTCAAAACCAACTCAACACACTCCCTCTACCTGTTTTAAACTCATCTAAATCTGCATGTTTTAAACTCATTCCCATGGTTTTCCTATTGCAGCTCTTTAAGAACAAAAGGACCACGTTCAACCCAGCCACCCACCCAGAACCACATAAAACCTGAGGCACTGCATCGAGGTTTGGAGGTCATTTAAATGGATTTTGATTTATAACCTCATTGCAGACACATTAACCCGGATTTATTTTGCATTGCAGAGCAGGACTGAAGCTCCTGAACACAGTGGGGAAGTTCAGGTAGAAGCAAATAAATAAACACATAAATAAATGAAGCCCCAAAATGCCTCCAGCACAGCGTCACAGGTGTCTGCAGACACAGCAGCTGGACAGTGGAATTCTGGGCAACAGGAGGGAAAAATTTCCTCAAAGACCAGTCTTTAATTCCAGCCAAGGTTTCTGACTTTTCCAGACTCTGCTTCCCGTGTTCATATTCCTGTGCCTGCCTAATTTGTACTAAAAACCAGGAACTTGGGTAGTTTTCCTTCATGGATCCTGATGCAAAAGGTACATTGTACTTTGTAATATATGGTGGCTTGTCCATCACTATTTTTAGCCACTGTTATTTAAAAATACCTCCAGCCCTTCCCAGTTTTAAGGTGCAGCATTTTAATGTCACGTATTCACTGAAGAACTTCTGATGGGCAGAGGCTGCAGCTCCTGAAAATAAAAGATATCCCAACTCTTCCACAAAATAATGGGAAAATACTCCTAAAAGTCGATTTCTGTGCAGGGACCACGGATTGACAATTACCCAGAAGGAATAAGAGTTGGGACTTCCCACCCCACTCCTCTGGGCTGGATTCAAGCCCTCGTCCTTGATGTGCTCCCGAGAATCAGTTATTCCTTGGAAAAATCTCTCCTCCCTGCCAGCTGGGCGGGCAGAACGTTTCTCTGCAGTGGGATATGGTGGGGCAGGGGCTGGAGCACTGATGTAAATCTTGCAGAACTCTAATTAAAAGCACGTAAGCGTTGCCAGGGCCTGCCAGGGACCTGTCACGGCGCTGGCAAGGGGAAGATGAACGACCTGGCAACTCTTTCTCCCGGGGAGATTCATGGCAGGTCCCGCTCATTGTCGTGTAGCTTTGCCACAGCCACTGGCCAAAGAATTACAGACCAATTTGAAGCCCAGAACAGACAGTAGATCATCCAGTCTGGGCAGTTCTGGAGCACAACACATTCCATTTATCCTGCACTCCTGCAGAGAGCCCAAGTTCTGACTCCAGCTCACGGGCTCTCTGGCAAGAAAGTCACTCCTTTTAGCAGATTTTATCACTATTTTTGCAGGTCACCCACCCATGACCCTTTTGTTCATTTGCATATTAAACCTTGATCAGGCTTTAAAATTTATCCAGTATTGCAAACTCTATTTTTTTTTACTTATTCTATGAGTTAATGATAAAATCCCTGAGTGGTTTGGGTTGGAAGGGACCTCAAAGCCCACCCAGTGCCACCCCCTGCCATGAGCAGGGACACCTTCCACCAGCCCAGGTTGCTCCAGCCTGGCCTTGGACACTTCCAGGGATCCAGGGGCAGCCACAGCTTCTCTGGGCAACCTGGGCCAGGGCCTCCCCACCCTCCCAGCCAGCAATTCCTTCCCAATCTCCCATCTCTCCCTGCCCTCTGGCAGTGGGAAGCCATTCCCTGTGTCCTGTCCCTCCAGGCCTTGTCCCCAGTCCCTCTCCAGCTCTCCTGGAGCCCCTTTAGGCCCTGCAAGGGGTTCTAAGGCCTCCCTGGAACCCAAAATCTATCAATTAATAAATCAAAATTCCCCTCAATCAATTGCTTTAGGTCACCTGTGCTCCTGCTGAGTTAAACATATTTTTTATTTGTAGACCTTGTGCAGAACTTGTTTCCCTGCTAAGGACAATCACTTCCCACTAAATGAGCACATCTGCTCCTCTCCAAGCAAAACCCAGGAGCAGCTCAGAAACATCAGCATTAATCCCCTTCCCATTCCCAGCTGGGAACAAGACCACTCCACTCCAAGGATTTCCTTCCCTTTGGGACAGAGGAAACAAAAGGCAGCTGGTCCAGGGCAGCAGAAGAGATGGAGTTTAACTGAAGACACCAACAGGGGAGGTGTGGAGGAGCCCAGGAGATCAGAGTTCATGTGTCTGTCCCATGGAGACACCCAAGGATTGCTGGGAATAACACACAGTGAGGAAGAGCAGGATGTGGCTGGAGAAGGGGCCGCATGGAGGGAGGGCAGCACTTTCTGGGACAAACATCCTTGTTCTGGCTCCTGGAGATCAGCAAAGATGAGCTGGAGAAGTGGGAATGGACCACGGGGGGATCAGGGGCACCCAAGACCCCAAATCCTCTGACCCATCTCCAGAAGGGTCTGGGAGAACAGGCTGAGCATGAGAATTAAGTTGCATAGAAATGAAGAAAGTGATCTCCAGGGTGGGGAAATTTATCTCCAAAAAGGTGTTCCCATGAATCCCAGGACTCAGGACACCCCTTCAGCTGGATCTGTGCTGGAGCCAGGACTGAGGATCATCCTTCCTTCCTTTTTTTCTCTCTCTCAACTCCCTCTCCCCCTCCTCCTCACTCAAACCCCAGGCACCAGAAGATCAGGAACTAATTTACACCAATTTCCACCCCGAGTCTGTCATTCACCAATAAAACTTTGTAAGCTTTTCTGCACCCTCTCACTTTTGCAGCTCCTTTTCAAATCCATGAATGCTGGGTGCTCCCTTCCCTTTTGAGGTGGGGGACAGCTTGAAAAGCCTAAAAGCTACAAAAACCTCACAGAATCCCAGAAGAGTTTGGCTTGGAAGGCACCTCAAAGCCCCATCATTCATCCTCACACAGTGTCCCGAAATATCTGGCCAGAAAAAGATCCATGGGAGGATTTAACAATTGACAAAAGCCACCACAACAACCTGCAGGACTTTTTACACCCCCCTGAGCTGCTGAATGCCAAAATTAGCAGCAAAAACACACGTCCCCTCTTGGAATGTCCCTCTTGGCTTCGTGTACAGAGACATTAAAAGCAAGGAGAAGGTTTGTAAAACTCCTCCCAGCCCCTTGGTGCTCCTTCCCAGCTATTTGTTCAAAGGGCCTCAGGGCCACGGAATTCTCAGTGTGACTCAGGGAGGTAAATGTTGATTTACTGTGGAATCTCTCCCGTGGCTCCCTCCCCTCCAGCAAAGGCTCTGCCTTATTTGTTCTGCTCAGTAAAACAAAGTTATTCCGAGGTATGAAAGGAAAATTCACACCATTTTCTTAAACGCTCTTTTCTCATCCCTTGGTGCTCCACAGCTCCTGAACCCTCTTCTAGTTCAGTGCACGAGAGCCCTGTTTACTCTCACAGGTTCTTCCATCCCATTCTAGTTGGAATTGTGGCTCAGCCAGTGATTTTCACGGCCTGTGAGATTCCTCTGGACAAACTACACATAAAAGTGCAAAAATGCACCATTTTTAAAACTTAAATGAATGAAATCACAGAATCCTTGAGTTTGGAAAACACCTCCCAGGTCATGGAGTCCAACCACCCCCATGTCCTCAAGTGCCACATCCACGTGGTCTTTGAAGACTTCCAGGGATGGGGACTCCACCACTGCCCTGGGAAGTCCATTCCAGTGCCTGACAACCTTTTCCACGAAGAATCTTTCCTAATGTCCAACCCTGGGGCGACTTGAGGCTGTTTCCTCTCTTCCATATGATTTAAAAGCATCAGTTTTCTGACCCTTCAGAAATGATCCTGCACTGATCTCGAGATCAGAAGCGTCTCAGTGGATGGAACACAGTGCAGGTGGAACCAGGGAAGGGAGGAGGGAAGAGCAGTGAAAAAACAGCTCAGTAACCACTGGCACCAACACAAGGGAAGCACAAAGTGAAATCACACCATCAAACGTGACTGGAAGGCAGGACCATGAGGATGGAAAGCCAGGGAGGTGAAAAAAAACCAGGATAATGCTGCCTCTGAGAGCAACAGCATGGAGAAGGATGTGGGAGCAATAAGTGGATATATTGGATATCTCCCTGTGGGATGTTATGGAACAGAGATGTCCTCATGTTCTTGGAGTTGGTTCGTACCAGACTCAGCACTTTGAGCTCTGAAATCCCCCCCCAGGCTCCCAAAACATTCCTGTGGCACCATTTGGTTCTAATGGATCAGCAGGAGTTCCATCTCCTCACTGGTGCTGGGTATTGATCACCACCAATTTATCAATGTTTTCAATAAAGATCACAG